CCCTCACGCCGCACCCCTGGTCCCCTATCTGCCTGCAGGGCAGCCCCGCTCCCACTGCTGCCACTCCCATGTGCTGATGGCACCAGCCCTGCTTGCACCGGCTGACGGCACAGAGTGATTGGGGCCGGCACCAGCAGCGGGTGCAAGTGGCGGCTGCTGCCCCGATTGCCCCTCAGGAGCAGGGGGAGGTGGAGAAGCCCTAAGGGGCGATCGGGGCTGGCAGCTGCCACTCATACCTGCTGATGGCACTGAGTGATCGGGACCGTCGCTGGGCACCAGCAGCAGGTGTGAGCAGAAGCTCCGGCACTGGCTGCGGGTGCGAGTGGGGATGGCGCTGGCAGTGGGTGCGAGTGGGGCCAGTGCCGGCAGCAGGTTCGAGTGCCGGGCGGGTACTGTAGCACGGAGGAGCAAAGAATTTTCAGTAACCATCAGAGGTTCCCTCCGAAGACAGCGATTGGCACCCCACCTTGGTCTGGCGCTCCCACTCACCTGCTCCACCATTCTGCCGTGGCCAACGCCTGCCATGTCCCGCACACCCCCCCCCTGGTGGTCAGTGCACATCATAGCAACCAGTTTTTCGGTTGTTTGGTCTATTTGAATATTAACCTTTTATTATATAGGATTTAACAACCAGCAGAAAGAATTGGTAGAAAAACTAGAAAGTAGGACAGATGTTAGGGACACATTAAGAAAAGTCCTGGCCCTCCCTAGAGTGAGATCGGAGCGAAGGTTGCTCCTGTTCCGACTATTTATGTGAAATATGAACTTCCAGAATGTGGGATTAGCATTCTGTGCACTGGGCCAGTTCTTTCCAGGAAACCTATTCCCTCCTCAGACTATCAGTATTTGTTTGAAACAGCGTTGGGTTTTATAAATAGCAAAAATGTTTACATTGGTTGGATACTCCATAGAGGTTGCCAACTTTTATTTTGCCAAGTAAGGATGTTAAAAAATACCATCTCCTATCACTACAATTTCATAAAAGAAAAGACATTTCAAACATATATTTCAAAATAGAGGATAGGTACTTTAAATTGAATACGTGTGGTTTTGTGAAAAATCCAGTTGTGTCCTTATTTTTTGCATTGCAGTTTATTTTTTTAGTTGTTTCCAGTTCTTTTATTTTGTATTTTTTTATTTGTAATCTTTATTGTTGAGTATTATAGATGTTCCTGTTTTTCACCCCCCATTGCTTCCCTCCACCCAGTTCCTGCCCTGCCCCAGGCCTGCACCACCCTACTGTATGTGTCATTAGGTAATGCATATATGCATATAAGATCTTTGTGTAATCCCTTCCTGCCCCCTCACCCCCTTCCCTCTAGAATCATCAGTCTGTTCTATTTCCATGCCTCTGATTCTATTTTATTCGCCAGTTTGTTTTGTTCATTATATTTCTTATTCATTTATTTTGATTTTTAGATTTAATTGTTGATATATCTGCATTTATTGCCTTTTTATTGTTCATATTTTTTATCTTTTTCCTCTTCTTCTTCTTAAAGAATACCCTTCAGCATTTCACATAATACTGGTTTGGTGATGACAAACTCCCTTAACTTTTTCTTGTCTGTGACGCTTTTCATCTGACCTTCAATTCTAAATGAGAGCTTTGCCGGGTAGAGTAATCTTGGTTGTAGATTCTTGCTATTCATCATTTTAAATATTTCTTGCCACTCCCTTCTGGCCTGCATAGTTTCTGTTGCAGTCAGAAATCAGCTGACAGTCGTATGGGTGCCCCCTTGTAGGTAACTAACTGCTTTTCTCTTGCTGCTTTTACGATTTTCTCTTTGTCTTTAGCCCTTGGCATTTTGATTATGATGTGTTTTGGTGTGGGCCTCTTTGGATTCCTCTTGTTTGGATTCCTCCCGCCCTGGTGCTGGAGCTCAGAGGAAGTGTGACCTTGTAAGTTCAGTTCGTGTGCTGACCCTTTAAGAGGAACAGCTGGGTCTCAGCATTGGTAGTCTTGTGCTTCCTGAACTTGTAAGTCTATTTCTTTCACCAGGTAGGGGAAGTTTTCTGTCATTATTTCTTCTAATAGGTTTTCAGTATCTTGCTCTCTCTCTTCTTCTGGCACCCCCATAATGCAAACATTGATATGCTTGAAGTTGTCCCATAGGTTCCTTATACTGTCTTCATATTTTTGGATTCTTTTTTTTTCCTCTTGTGATTGGGTGTTTTTGCTTCCTCATATTTCAAATTGTTGATTTGATTCTCAGGATCCTCTAGTGTACTGTTGAATCCCTGTATATTATTCTTTATTCAGTCAGTGTATGCTTAATTTCTGACTGATCCTTTTTCATATTTTTGGCATTCTCACTAAGATCCTTGAAAGTCTCACTAAGTTCCTTGGAGATTCTAGAAGATTCTCAAGTAACCTCATAACCGTGGTTTTGAACTCTATAGCCAGTAGTTTGCTTTCTTCCATTTCTTTCATTTGTGACATATTTCTTAGCCTCTGCATTTTGGCTGCTTCCCTGTTTGTTTCTATGTATTGGGTAGAGCTGCTATATCTCCTGGAATTGGTAGAGTGGCCTTGTGTAGTAGGTGTTCTGTAGTGCCCAGGGGCTCAGCCTCCCCAGTCATCTGAGCCAGGCACTCTAAGTGCACCCCTTGTGGGCTGCGCACACAGTCATGTAGTTGAGTCTTGATTGTTGTTGGTGTCACTGGGAGGAATTGACCTCCAGGCCAGTTGACTGTGAGGACCAGCTGTGACTACAGAGGGAGAGCTGCTGTGCAGGAAACACCCCTGTGGAGCAGGAGTTGCTTCAGTGGGGCCTTGGTACTCACTGAGTCTGCCCCTTGAACATGTCACTTGTGGATGTGTAGAGTTGTAATCTGGTATGATCTGATGCTGACCACTGGGTGCACTGGCTCTTGGGTCTCCAGAGAGGTGCAAAATCAGCCACTCCCTGGGCCACCCAGCAGGAGCTACAGAGAGATCTGCAGATTCCTCCTATTTGTATCAGGTTTTGAAGTGTCCAGGTGAGGTCCAGCTGTGAAGCAAGGCAGGCTGGTACTAGTGCTAGGTCTTGGGCCTTTATTGATAGCTTTGGGGCTCCCTGACCCAGCTGCAGCTTGTTTGAGAGATTTAGGAAAGTCTGAAGCCTGAGCCAGGACAGGCCATTCAAATGTAAAAGCTGCTGTACATAGGTTGGGTGGGGCTGCAAATTGGATGGGGTGGAGTCTCAGGGAATCACCAGGGCAGAGCAAACAGAAAGCCCTGTGATGGGGAGGTCCCAGCATTGTAACAATGACCCCTGGGAGCACCTTCGTATGAGAGAAAGCTGCCCCGGAGTTCTGCCCCGATGCCGGACAATCCAGTTCCTACTTGTATGTGTCTGTTTTCCCCTAAGCCCCGCCCTGGTGCTGGAGCTCAGAGGAAGTGTGACCTTGTAAGTTCAGTTCGTGTGCTGACCCTTTAAGAGGAACAGCTGGGTCTCAGCATCCTCTGTGTCACTGAGCCCCAATCCCCACTGGTTTTTATAGCCCATAGTTTGGGGACTTCTCTTCCCGGCTCTGGGGGCCTGGGTTGGGAGTCTGGTGTGGGGCTGGGACCCCTTGCTCCTCACAAGGGGCCTCTGCAGAGATGATCTCCCTCCCGATTAAAAAAGCGGCAGTGCTGCCTTGGTGGTGATAAGCCCCTTTATTCTTTTTTTTTTTTTTTTTTTTTTTTTTT